CCGCCGCCTCCTTCTGCCGGCTCCTCCCCGCCGAGCCGGGGTCGGGCTGGTCCGGCTGGACGGCGAGACGGGGACCGCCCGGGGCGGGGATGCTGCCCCCGCCGCTGCCGGGCTGGGAGGAGCGGGGCTGGAAAGCGGGGGGAGCTGAGAGGTGCCCCGCGTACCCCGCGGGATGCTCCGGGGACGGGCTGAGGTGCTGGGCACCTGCGGCAGCCGGGAAACGGGGTCTTTAGGGGCTGAGCCGAGTTGGGAAAAATATGTTTTCTCCTTGCGCAAAGGGGAAGCGAGCGCTAGAGGGACGGCGACTTGCTGAGGGGCAGCTTAGGAGGGCAGCCAGGCATCTGAACCCTGGCTGTAAGGCTTGGTACAGCCTCGGCTTTACTGCAGTCAGCACTGTTCCGAAGCCCACCCAGCCCCCCAGGCTGACGTGAGACAGCGATGGCAGCAGCCCCGCAAGCCGTCCCCACTGGGGATGCCCCGTCCCTTCCAACCTAAGCACCGCCACTCATCCCCTGCCTCACCAAGCTTCAGCATCTTGATTTCACACCAGCTCTTTTCCCAGGGAGGCTGCTGCTCAGCTGCGGCCCATGCAGGACCACAATATAACTTTATATCTTCAAGGCAGCGGGGATGAGGGGCTATAGGTCAAGTGACCATGCCTGCCTGTCCCTTGACCTCTTTCCATCGCTTGCTGCTCTCCAGGGGCTGGGCAGGGTCCCCAGGAGATGGTGGCACAGCGCAGGGTGATGTCTACCGCTGGCAGTGAGTGGCCTGTGGCTGGGAGGCTGCAGCAGGCACCCATGCTGCTGGGAAGAAGTGCCCATCGCTGCTCTGGACTGCAGACCTGGAGTGATGGCAGGTCCCAGTGCTTACCTGGGTATTAAAGATGCTCTAGAGTGAAGGCAGGGGTCAGGCTGCCAGCCCTTCCAGGGCAAAGTCAGGCTTTAAAGAAAAAAATATGGGTTTTTCAAAGAGAAATGTCTTTTTTCTCAAAATTTCTCTCAGAATTTATCTCAAAAGAGAAATTTCTTAAAAGAGAAATTGTGAGGTGGCCCCGGGGATTTACTGATATTTACAACAGCAGTGAGGGACTTGGGAAAGCCCTTCCTTGTGCTTTAAGGATGCAGTGTTAACAGCAATGAATCGCCATCTCTGCATGTCTCACAATTTGTAGCCCAGCAAAGCAGTCCAGAGTATTAGAGGTAAGATGGGATGCCAGAAAAAAAGTGGCATTTCCCCCAGGCATTGCAAATCAGCCCCCAGTTATGTGTACAAACGGGGCTGTTGTGGCCTCACTCTTGAAATTAGAGAAAATCAGCATGGAGAGGGGACAGCATCCCGGCTCCTACACTGCCGGAGAGCTGAGGCTGAGCCCCGGGAGAGCAGCCCCATCCCTGGTGCTCCTGCCTGGCCAGGGTTGCCAGCTCCCCTTCCTTGTGGGTGCCTCTGCTGCTGTTTTCTGAATAGCTGTACCCTTTCCATGGTTTTATCTTTGCAGGATCCACCTCTGCTGTCAGAACATAGCCAAGAGCAAAGTAAAAATGAAAAGCAAACATCCAAAGCTTTACCACTCAAATGAAAGGGTATTTGACCCTTTTTTTTTTTCAATTTTGAGAGCAGTGATTTAACCAGAAAATTCAGTCACTGCAATTAGACCTCAGCATCCCCCGCAGAGAAGCAAATCCATATTTCCTTGCTTCACTCATTGCAAGGAGGTTACTTTATTAAACTCTTATGGCTTGTCTTGTCCTCTTCCAGCCCTGTATGGTTCATATAACTCATGCAAGGCTGTGGGCTATGGAGAAAAGGAAAGATCTGGTAAAAAGCAATAATAATCAGTAATAATAATAATAAACATCACCAAAGAAGATGTGGTGTTTGGTAGCTGCGAAGCTAGCCTGTTGGAAATGGGAGTGGAGGAGTTCATGTTCTTTATGCAAAGCCTTTCCCCCTGCTTGTCTTCGCCCTCGGTTGTACTGTCATCCACCGCCTCTCTGGGAAGGGGAATATAAAGGAAATGCTGTTTTCTGCTCAGGCTGCAGGAGGAGCAATGGCCTAGAGAGCATTCAAATCTATCATTTCATGGAAATTTCAGCTCTATCACCTCCGCAGGAAATAAATGTCTGTGGGGTTTAATCTGATCAGCTTCACCCCAATGAGAAAGGCAGGCAGGGTAACAGTGCAGGGCAGGTTTGTTTTCTCTGCTAATGAAGCCCAGGGTTAAGGGCTGGGTTTAGGCCAGGGTTCCCTGATCTCAACCCAAAGCCATCATCCCCTCCTAGGTGACATATGTCCTGTAGGTCTAATCCACTGTTCCTCTGACCTCTGGAAAAGAGGGACAAATTCGTGTATATATGGATGAGCTTGCAATGGCCTTCTGGCCAGGGCCAGTCACTGTCCAGATAAAATAATTCACCCAGTTGCTCTTCATCACCACAAAACATGTAAAT